GCTATATCAACAATGTTATATAGTCAAAAAGTTAAACATCATTATGCTCCTGATTCGATTTTACTCTTGAATGCAAATAGTGTCTTAGGTAAAATTGATCCTGACTCAAATAGTTCACTAGCTCTTCAAAAAGTTGATTTACTCCTAAACATTTTACAGTCAGATAGACCTCTTGTTGTTGCTGTAACAAAAACCTGGCTTAGTCAAAACATAGACAATTCAAAATTTTTAGTTTCAGGCTATCAACCCGTAATTAAACGTGATCGTAAAGAGACATTACTGTTGGAAAGCTTGTTTGAATGGTAATAGTTCGACATAGAAATCAACAATATTGTCCAATTTTTTATCTTTTAGCGTAGGCTTGAGCACTTGTATTTCATTGCTTAATGATGAAAAATCAGCATTCATGTGAGATGCAAATGGTCGGATTGATTCAGTTTGTAGAAAGTTATCACTTTCAGGACAAAGAGCGCCTATTCCACTCAAAATATGAATATTTTCGTCCGAGAAACGATCTTTCAGTTCCACTAACCTTGAATCAGTTACAGGATAATAGAGATTCGTTCGATATTTGTCTTCACTATCGACATAATCGCGGTGGCCAATAGTAGATGTAATAAAGACGTCTTTGAATCGGGATGGAACAGTTTTGATACGTCTTGTTTCCTACTAAATCAATTGAATTTTCTTTCCAAAAGATAGAAACTTGTTGATAAATAGTTGAAAACGATTTCTCATCACGAAGATCAGATATTTGATGAATGACCGACTGTATCAAATATCGAGCTCGACTGAAACCAGTCGATTTTCCTGTAAAACCATAGACATATGATGCTGAATAATGAAGTGTTCCTATGAGTTTTTACCCTTCAAATGATCAGACAAGATCTTAATTATGCCGAGTAGTTTATGCAAAACCAACAATGTCACGCTAAAAGCTGGTTCTTTAATGACTATCAAGACACCTCTTGCATCGATAGATTTATCTAACTTCTAATCTTACTTGATCATAACTTTTTAGATGGTCAATTTGATTCTGGACATGAGAATAAGATGGAATTCGACATATTTCATATTGAGTCGTGTTATTTTATTCAAAAATGTTTTATACGATTTCCACAAAAAGCAGAATCATTACCAGTTGGTCCCTCACGAAACTGATTTTGTTTATATTTTTCATCTGGGTTGCATGTAGAAATCCTCATCTTTTCTCCTCTTCAAGTTGGAGTTTCTTCTCGAGAACTTCATCTTCTTTCTGTGCAAGTCAGCGTTTCTTGTTGAGCAGTTCATCTTTTTTCGTTTTCGACTTGAAGCTACCTCACCAATGATTTCATCTTTCTCATCATCCACTTGGAGTTTCTTCTCGAGAACTTCGTCTTCTTTCTGTGCAAGTTAGGGTTTGTTGGTGAGAAGTTCATCTTTTTGCCTCTACGACTTGGCGTTACCACACGAAAATTCTTTTCTTCTACAGATCCTTATCTTTTCTCCTCTGCAACTTGAGAAATTCATCTTGTTTCATACACGACTTGAAGTTACCAAACGAAAATTTAATTTTTTCCTGTTCAACTTGGAGTTTCTTCTTTCTGGAGTTTCTTCTGTTTCTGAGATAAAGCCAAGTCGTAAAGGAAAAGACGTTAGAAACCTTGCAAGAAAACTTGCGCAGAAAGAAGATGAAGTTCTCGTTGGGAAACTCCCGATTGATGAGGTAAAAGATGAAATTATTCATGAGGTAACGTCAGGTCGTAAGTTCTCCAGCAGATGCTCCAACAAGAGGAAAAGAGATGAAGTTCTCGAGAGGAAATTGCAAGTTGTAGAGGAAAAAGGATGAGGATCTCTAGAAGAAACTGAGCTGAAGAAGATGAAGAAAAGAATTTTCGTGATGTAACGTCAAGTCGTAAAGGAAAAAACATGAAGTTCTCAACAAGAAACTGTAACTTGCACAGAAAGAAAATCAAGTTCTTGTGGGGTTAAGAAAGAAAATCAAGTTGATGAGATAAAAGATGAAGTTCTCGCGAAGAAACTCCTGATTGTACATGTGTCCAACAACTGACCTAAGCTTAGAGTTCATAGCTTTGAAGATTACAGTTCTCAAAAATTCATTTCTCTTTGAAATCCTGGTATTTAAACGTATATGAGACACACGTGTCGTAGCTGAAAGCTCATACAGCACGATTGTTTGATGCATTAAGTTGAAAAGAATGAAAAGAATTTAAGTATCCATCCAAGCAAATACTCTCTAAAAGCCTTTTTAGGAACTTATCTTTCATTAACTTTCTAAATCTATGCGTGGATTCATCTCTAAATTGAAAGTTTTTATCAAAACTAACGTCTGCGGGAGTAGAGGCTTCCTGAAATACACAGCAGATAAAGATCTCAAGTCTGTTGCACTTTCTTTGTTATATTGTCTTATTAGGCGAACGAGCAGTAATAGTAGTAAAATACAGTGGAAACTCGCATCCACAAAATGTACTGTCCAGGATTTTGGCAATATAGATCTATTCGAAATACTCATCATAAAATGAAAGACAATAGCTTAAGGCTTTTTTTTTCTTATTTGTTTTGGGTAGGAGTAACAGCATATATACTTTCAAAGACGGTGATCACGATTCTGGAATTATTTTTTCGTTTGCTGTAGTAGTCTATTTGTAATGCTATTTAATGATAAGAAAAGATACCATTTTTTGCTTTTATTTCACTTTAGTCAGAAAAAGAAACAGAGAGAGTTAAAGTGCCTGACTAATGTACACATAGAAAGTTAAAATATTACTATTATGTTTTTTTATTAAAATGAATGCCTAGCTAGATGTATTAATACATCACATAAGATAAAATATTCGTTCGATAACAGTGAATAACTCAGTACCAAACAGAATCAAGACATTTTTCTCATACAAAAGGCAAGTCGATATTATCTGAGTTCATTCATCATGACTCAGTTCTCTACATGTTTGTGTCACCGTTAGTTATGAATTAGAACGCGAGAAACTAGCTAATGTTAGAAAGTAAAACTACACAGTTGATTACAATTAATACTTTTTCACGTCATATGAATACGCCAACATTGTTGATACTGTACGACTTGCATGATTACATACCAACTTGTCCTGTTTCTTCATGAATGACAGGATCTCTCACACACAAACTCAGGAGCCACCAACAAGAAGATTAAAAGACAAAATTTTAACGCTAATCGTGAATCTAAAACAGACATCCGGTGCCTCTACTTGTTGGATAGGAGGTGTTTATTTAGTGTCTTTTCTAGACCCACGGGCAGACGTTTCTAGGACCTATCAGTTCCAAACAGTTTAATCAATGACAAGTCAAGCGGTAAAAGTAGCTGATCAACCACGAGTCCGATGGTATTGGAAATCGAATTCTGACCCATGGTCAACAAATGCAAAAGACGAATGGACAAAATATTCTGATATCGAATCAGCGATCATCGAAGAAGCATTTAATGGAAAAAATAAAACAAAACTAGCTGAACTGGATAATCGATTAACTTAAACGATTCCATTCAAATTAGTAAATCGGATCCAAGTAAACAACGGCATTAGTAGAAATGAAAATCAAGGTTTAAGAGAAGAAAGATTCGTTTTACCAACAGCCTTGGGTCTTGAGTCTTGAAAGCAGCACTCATTCTCTTGTCTATTCTTCCTGAAGCCCAAATTCCAGAAAGAACGCTTTTGCCAGAAAAGAATTCTGAGTCGGACATTCGATAGAACGTGTTTGAAAATGTAGAAAAAGTTCATTGTTGAAATTTGTACCCTGGCGGAAAGTTATCGCGATAGGTATCAGTCTGATCTCGAATGAAATTTCAGAGGATATTGGCTATGTCAGGGCATGAGGACTGGATGCATTTCCTAGACTAGAAATTATCGCTTGTCCTACTATTTTACCATTCCAGGGAAGAAAAATCCTACACTTGAACCGATGAATTATGCATTCTTTATGCATTAAATGCATTTTTCGCCCATACCAGAATAGTAGAATGCTAGAATAGTAAAGTGGACGTCAGAAGTCTGGCGCTGCTTTTTTGTTTTGACTCGCATTTCACACCGATGCGATATTTTTTCGTGCGGTTTTTTCCATTAGATAGAGCAAGTCGAGCACTATAAGTGTGTATTGAATTGCAATTTATAAGGCTAGAGTATGACGGCTTGTCCAAGCGTAACGCTGTGACGTTTTTGACATACTATTTTTCAATTATCTCGGAAACTTTAAGAGCTAGGGAGTTGGTTCAAACGCCATTCGACCCAGCTCATCATGCTCTATTTATGCTATAAAAATGAATAGTTTTGGTCGAAGTCTGGAGTCTCTAGAAATACTTTTTAGTCGCGTAACGCTGTGACATAAAAGGACCCTAAATCTGAAGCACTCTTCCTTAAGTTCTAATTTCCTGTGAAACTCGTTGTCCAAATTAAATGTCACAAGAGCAAGTTTTGTAGAGGTTTCGACGAGCTTTCCAATGGTAAAAAAAGATTTCTTCGAACTATTTTTTTTCGCTTAAGAAATGCAAAAAACAAACGTAACGATGTGACACCTTTTTTTCGAAAATTGACATATACTTTTTATTTGATGTAAATTCGTCTGAGCACGTTGTTTAAACGTTCAAAGAGACATTTCTACGACTCTTATCACTAAAGCTCGCGTTGGTATGTGTGAAGGCCTCTTAGATCTCTGTTAGACTCCATATTTCCTGCTGCAGTGAACTGTGCTTCTGCTATAGGTTTAAAACATACTCAGAGGCTTTTGCCACTAGAATATAAGTGCACGCTATCTTAAACGCTAGTGTTTCTCCAGCTCGGGACGAAGACCCGGTCTCCTTTGAGCTGGATATTTTTTTTGTTTTTTTTGTGATGTTCCTATCGGCGAAATGCTTTTTCTACTATTTTCTAGAGTGAAGAAAACGTTTTTCTACATTTCATCGATTGTCTAAGTGTAAACATAGTGAGAAAAACAAAGTCAAACAAAAGTACTAAAAATGTAGATATTTACTATCAATATGTTATAGTCTTTTTTTCAGAACACGTAGAATAATAGCGAAATTCTAATTCATTTTCGTCACCTACTTTAACCGAATGCATTTTTAATGTTTCCGGAACAGATTCTGCCATTTTGAAAAGATTTTCAAGTTTGGTTTTCGAGTTATCAATGTCACTGCTCGTGATTTGAATCAGAATGATTTTCTTAGTTTTTTTCTCTGCAAGTTTAATAAAATCTTCAGCTGATCGACACACTCCTCCTACTAGTATAGCTGACCACACAAGACGTTTTACAATACCTCCAATACCATCGACTACACCTTTTCCATGAGAAGTTGCGAAAAAACGCCAACTCAAGTTTATTTTCCGTTCATCAGCAATTCGCGTTAAATTTCGAAAATGAAAACGTTGTTTAAACTGAGAAGTAGCACCACCCGAGAAACAATTTATTTCTTCAACATTTGGAAAAACTGTTTCGATATGATTTAAAATGATTTTCAAAGCAGAATCAACAGCAAATTTGTCGTGTGTCAGATCTGACGATGGTAGAGCAAAAGAAAAATTTTCACTTTTTGACCAGACAAAAGCAGTAAATATGCTCAACGGCTTCGTGTTCCAGTGAGCCTTCTGGATCTCGTCTTGTTCTTTCATATTGAAATTCTCTGCAAAATCGACTTGCAATATTATCTTTTCATCACTAACTTCCGTCGTTAATTTTTCAAAATACTTCGACTGTTCTCGTTTAACGTACACATGAAACAAAAAATGTTCAACTTTTGACTTCAATGACAAAACTGCTTCATCAACGTTTCCTGAAAACACTTTTTTTTCTGCATGACCATTTTCGTTCATCCATTGTGACCAAGTAATTTTGATTTTATCGTTCGAAACGTTTTCCTGAATTTTTTCTGTAAAAAAATCTTCACAAAGTGAACAACTACTGAACATACATTCTTCATTATTAGTACTACAAACTAAACTATCGGTAAATGTTTTCAAAGATGAGCAGCATTGTCCACCAACGTATTTATCAAGAGATTTTAAAAGTAAACAAATATTTTCATGATACACACACAAGCAATTCCTATGTGTTAAAGCAGC